ACTTTGAACATAACTTAGGCGCTGTACAGAAAATAGGTGTGAAGTTAAATATGAAATTATTGTTGTTTTCAATTTCAATTAAAAAATGGAAAATAAGAGAAAGAAAAAAATATCTATTCAAATTTGGTCACGGTGACGAGGGTTTAAGTGCCACGTCACGTTGGTTAAAACATTATAACTCAGTAATGAATGTTAAAATTGTGCCTTATAAGAAATTAATGTGTGTATTTTTGTAATTATACTATTAATTTAAGTAAAACATTAATATGTGTATTAAAATAATAATATAGTTAGGGAATAAATAATTGTTATATCACTCTCTGTTAAGGTCCATTTTTTGGTAAAATGTCACAGTCACGTCAAAATCGAAACTGTTGTTGCTTTTAATGCAAATCAAAAGATTGGAAGTGAGAGAAAAAAATAAATGTCGGTTGATAAATGTCAACTTGATCATGAGAGCCGAGGCTATCTGTTCCTCGTCAAGTATATCATCTCTCAAGTCAACAATACAATTGCTCTCTGAACCTGATATATTTATTATATATATAATTGAATAGCAAATAGCTAGTTAATAAAAGTTTAATTATAGTTTACAATAAAGACCGGAGGCTACCTATTAAGAAAACTCTGCAACATCATGGCAGTGTAGCGCACTTTTATTTTGTTACTACCGTCATTATACGTCACTGTCCTCTCTGCAGCCATGAATAATTTCATTATTTTGCTATTGACACTTGTGTTTAACCTATTTATGATGATTTGATTGACAGCTATAAATAAAATTTTAGTAATTGGAATTTGGCCATGGATTGGCCAAAAATTTTGGTATCATATAATTTAGAGTGCCTGATTGATGGCACTTGACTGCATTTACAAAATCGATTCATTTGATTTTGTTATATTTTCCTCTTTATATATTTTAAAAGCGTATCCAATAACGAAAATATTGATAATTTAATTTTAGGTTTTCATAAATTTGCAATTATATGAAATTTTAATTAAAAATTATTATTTAAGTGTTTAAAGTTAAATAAATCGTAGATTCCATATTTTATATGCTGATTAGCATCAATGAATTATGTGTATATATATATATGTATCAGTGGTACAAATTTATTTATTAAAACATATTTCGTTATTTATGAATATTTATACCCAGATTACATATGTACTATAAGGTACAGTTTATTTATGCTAATTTAAATTGAAAAGGCAAAGAGTGGTAATATTAACGAAATTTTCATATTTTCATAATGGTTTATTTTACTCTTGCTGTTGGAAAAAATTGATAGTGGTAGTTATAGTGAGGAAATTCACAAATCCGAAGAAAAACTTTGGATAAAGTAAGTTCTTAGGCTGACTATACAACTACTTCGCCAAATAACCATCATCTGTGGTCTTTGAAAAAATCTGTAAGTTTGATTGTATGTATATAGTTTTTAAACTGCAATTGTCAGAAAATTAAATCTTATTTACAACGTACACTTAACTTGCGTTTTCACTATTACTGCCCATTTTCTATTCGGAAAATAGATTTGGATTTCTCTATTTTTGTGCCCAAACCTCAAGTTATCTGCTAATTGAAGCTTCGTCACTGTCATGGCTCCATAACCACTTACATGGTTATCGACTAATGCCCACGGTGTATTGCTTCATGACAATACCTGGATACACTGAAAGCTAATCACCGGAAAAAAACGTCAAAACCAATAGGTACATACTTAGCTCTATAGAACTATCTGATGGCACACTCAACCACCCATCGCAATCGAAACTATATATAAATAAATGTTATAAAATATAAATAACAAAATAAATAAATATAAATTAGAATATTAAACGTACAGCCCAGTCTCCGTACGTCCGCGTTTCTTTCTATAAAAGGCTACAATGTCAATAGATATTCAAAAGTCATTAGTCCAATCCTCTATACGTTCTCACTTACGTTTTTCGTCTGAAACTACGGTAGTGCAACGAATTGAAAGTAAATTTTTAATTTTTTTTTTTTGTTTTTTCAGTAGGTAGAAATCATGGACAGCCACAGTGTGAGATTTTACCACTAAAACCACTTCTTAGGAACGGTTTTGTAAGATTGCAGTTATGTTCAGCGGATGCAACCCCCATTCCAGCAATCAGGGCGAGAATGTAAAAGGAGCATAAGATTTGTAATCACAAATTTATCTAAACTAGCACATAGGTAAAACGCAGAGGCAGACGGTAATGTAAAGGAAGACGGGTATCTATTAAGGAAGCGTTACCTGATGGTGGAGACCACAAACGGTATACAGTTAATTTTTGAGATCAACTATTTTTATTTTAGTGCTATTATTTTTGTAGAGACATATGTTATGCATATTTTCACTTGCTATATGTAAAGTACCTTATTTGGGTGCAAATCTTACTCTACAAGTTTGCTTTCCTATAATATTAATTATAATTTTTTTGTTTGTTGAAAGTGTCGCCTCTTATGACGAAAAGAAACTAAAAGTAAGAAGATCATTGCTGATGACCACTAAGGTCCCTGATATTTCATACTTGACAATACTCGAAGCAGCATTGTATGATCTGTCAAATTTCAATAAATCAACTAAAATGTTTGTTGTTGTCTTTTCATTTCCATTCGAACCCTTCTAACAAATAATATATCTGCAAGATTTCTTTAATGATATCCAAAGAAATGAAGAATGAATACAATATTATATCCAGTATTGAGTACTTGGCAATACTCGAAACAGCGTTGTATGGTCTGTCAAATTTCCATAAATTAACTAAAATTTTTTGTTATTGTGTTCTTATTTATATTCGAACTCTTCTAACAAATAATATATTTGCAAGATTTCTTTAATGATATCCAAAGAAATGAAGAATGAATACAGTATTAAATCCAGTATTGAGTACTTGGCAATACACGAAACAGCGTTGTATGGTCTGTCAAATTTCAATAAATCAACTAAAATGTTTGTTGTTGTCTTTTCATCTCTATTGAAACCCTTTTAACAAATAATATATCTGCAAGATTTCTTTAATGATATCCAAATAAATGAAGAATAAATCCAGTAACGTATATTCGAACTTATTGAAACATTAATTTAAAAATGTGGAGTATAAATTGTTAATAAATTTAATGTACCTTGACAAAATTTTAGTGCTTCGAAATGAAATTTATTAATATTGTTTTTGTTGGTTTTAAAACGAAACAAAAGCGTTTCATAGTTGTAATTCAATATAGCCAAAATATCTTCGGCATAAAGAAGTAATACATAAATATCTATAAAAAAAATGGAAAAGCAAAACTTAATGTCACTCATACGTCAGGAGTTGCGCCATTTAAAATTTGTATAATTGCAATTTTACGCTGACAAAGTTTTTCAACTCTTTTAACGGCGTTGAAAATTGCTCCCCAATGACACATTCAACTACGAAAAAATACCAAAAAAAAAAAACAAAACAAAAATGGAAAAACAACAACACAGTATGGAACTAACTTTTAATATATATGTATACATAGATATATATATATGTATATATGTACGTATGAAATTGTGAACGGAAGCAATGAAAATATACGCACGTGCTTATGTATGACGACAGAGATACGCATTCAAGTGTACATATTGCGAAAGTTTATTTGAACCTATAATTTTATCTGGCGTTTGTTATTTTCATTGTTTTTCTTACGATTCATTTCACGTTTTAATTTCTGTTCGTATTTCTGCGTCATTACACCGGAAACGTTACGCTGTGCGCTATTGTAGCCACTTGTGCCATAGAGGCACAGTTCCGGGCATACATAAGCCGTGATATTCCGCACACATACGCCAGAATTGTTGCCAAAGTAAGGCATGAACAACTTGAGAAAAGTTTTTAATCACTCAAAAGCCACAAGGATTTAATCAGCACAATGACAGGATATTGGTGGTGATTCGGTGAGCAGCATTGATGGCTGCGGTTTTCCGAATGGAGGGGAGTGAAAATTTTTAACTTGACTTCTTCCTGGAAAATCTAATAAAAAAGCCGTTTTTCATTTCTAAAAACTTTTCCGAAATATTTCTTTACTTAGTCAGTCGTTTTCCTTTATACAATTTTTTTATTCCTTCATTGTGCTCCACCTATTTTCAATAATAGAAAAGCCACGTCCGCCTGCCTTTGTTTAACTTTTGCAATTGGCAATAGTTTTCCATTTGTGTAAAAGCTGTAAAATTACTGGATATTTTGTGAGTGAAATGCTAACGAATATGAAACGATTTTCGTATACTCACATTTTGCCGATTTTGTCCTATTGTGATGTACCAGTACCTATTTCAATTGAATGGAGTGGAAATTTTAAGCGAACTCCAATAATTTTTAAGCGTTTCGTCATAAAAAATGTCTTAAACATTTTCCATTAAATGTCAGGTTACTGAGATATCTTCAAAGTTTGTAATAAAAAGAAAGATAAAAAGAAAGATAGATAAAAGATAGATTTCAATCAATAGCTTTAAGTTTAAATCTGGCTGTAGTTTCTGGACCTACAGCCAGATTAAAAATCTATTAAAAACCATTTTAAAAATAAATTTATAGCAGTAATACACATTACTGAAATGCTGCCTCCGGAAACACCTGTAAAAAACTTACTTATAGGCATATACTCCTGCACGAAAGCAGACTGAGAATTATGCAGATGTAGCTAATGATATTGAACTGCTAGATAAATTCATACATATTATCACAAGGTCCCTTATACTTAATACTGAGTCAGTGAAGATTTCCAGCCAGACCGATGTATCTCCACTAGATACTAACCAAAAGAGTGATTAAAATAAGTTCAATATACAAATTCTACTAATTTCGATTTTCAAAATCTTATAAAATGAAATCATAAAAACACTTTTTTATAAAAAAACAAGTTATGCCCATACTTTCTAATACTTTTATTCATAAATTTAAGAAAAACAAAAGAGTTATTTTTTATTCAAATAAAATAATTAAGTTTTATTTTTAATTAAACAAATGTCAAGCCCTTAATCACGGAGAATAGTTGAATATATTTTCCAATCATTTCCCATTTTAACTAAATGGAAATCTTGATAGAAAACTTTAACCCCTAGGCCCTTATAGTGCACATTACCCATCGCATTGACTGACATACTGGTAATACCCTTTACCTTTTCAGTAGTTTTTACCACAGGCATAATTGATGTTATTTCATGTTCTGATTCTGGTGTTTTGTGGAGTAAGAAATCCTGAGCTGTTTCCCTCTCCCTAAAGTATTCTTCATTCCAGTCTATCATGAAACCATCCATATAAAAATCAATGACTTTCTGTAAATATACAATGAATAAGTAATATGCCCCAAACTGTGCAACTCTATTGTTCTAAGTACTTATGTTGTTATTAAATACTATACGATTTTTTTTTTTATAAATTAGTGCTCTGCAGATTCACAGAAAGACTCAACCATATTTAAAAGAAAAACTAAAATAAAATTTAATAAAAGATTTTAATAATGTATCTCAATAACTCACTTCGCGGCTCTTGTCCATAGCACCATAATAGGATTTGGTAAATGAATCCGCAATTTGATGGCTCATTTGTTCTTTCAAGGCCTATAATTAAAGGGTTTAAGCAAATAATAATAATAAATTAAAATAAAAGATAATTACAGGATCCATTATGAACAACAAATCCGCTCTCAATAAAACGAACTAATGAAATAAATTTTAATTGATGACAGCTGTCATATTAAAAAAATGCATTCACAATAGCAACGGTCGAATAGTTGTCACAAAAAAATCTTATAAGGAATGGAAACTTATATGTATTCACAATATATGGAATGGAAACTTATATGTAAACGGCATAAAGTAATAATTCACAATAATAATTCTATCTTATAAAGCCGCTGTTAAATAATAATCAATTCAACCTGGAAAACAGAAAGTTACTATATAATCAAAGAATTAGGCCAGCACTACTCTACGGATGTGTTACATACAGGAAAGCCTCAAATACTGCCATTAAACAATTACAGAACCTGGCTATAGGAAGTCTATTTAAGATTTAAGATTACAACAACAGACATTCACAGAGATCTAAGTATCGACTAGAGTATAAAAATATATCAGGGACAGAGCCCTGAAACTATTCATAAAACTTGATACGCTGTCCAACACCGCCCTAACAAACCTCAAGTTCATCTCATGACCCACAGGAAAATATGCTGATCTACTGTCAGTCATCAGTTAAGCAATAAATAAATGATATAAAGTCTAGTATAGTTAAACCTTAGTGTAGGATAGGGATAAGCCCCCACAACAACAACACAAAATAGGCTTTAAACAATAGATGATTGTGACATGTCATATATGTCATATAAGCACTTTTTAATGGGAACATTTTTTTAACTGCTTCTTTGCGTTGAAAATAATTTTTGTATTTTTCTATCCCGCTTAATAAAAGTAAAGTTATGTAGCACTTCTATATTTTTAGTATCTCTCGTAGAATTTATAACATAGTTAAGTAGTAAAAAGTCCAAATAAATGTAGTAGCGAGAAAATTTTCTAAGAAAATGAAAAATCGTAAGAGTTGTATTGCAATGAAAATTAAAGGAAAAAATTAAAAAAAAATGTTGTGTAGCAGAAGTAGAGGTAGGAGCAGCAGCATTTTAAGCGGTAAAGTGCACTTATGCAAGAAACTTTATTGCACAGGAAATTAAAACAGTGCAAGCCAAAAATATACAAAGCAAAAAAAGACAAACAAAAGAAAGTTTTCTCAGAAAAAATATTCTTCCAAGCCGTGTGAAGTGCGCTTCACGTGATGGACTCAACTTCCTGCATTTAGAATTAGAAAGAGGCTAGTAGTTGGAATTAGTGCTGTCAGTAAATGGCTGTAGTCTGTGTCTTCAGGAACGCGTGTTCACGCTTCAAATTAAATAAAACCTTAAAGCGGTACATTTAAAACTAAGTTTAAAATTTTTATTAATTTCAACTTTTATTTTGTGTTTTACGTTTCTTAAAGTTTTTAATACATTAATGAATTTAAGCAACAAAGTGGAAGTTGAAAGCAAAGAAAATACGTTGACAGCTTTGGAACTTTATCTACAACGATAAAATCGAGTTAACTAAACAAAATTGCAATGCTCTATTTTAGTATACCTCCACAGAAACTTTAATACATAGTTCAAAAGTATATTTATTATAAAAAGTTTTCGGTACTACTGCTTACCCACGTAACTAAACGGGGCTTTAGAGGGCTTGAAAGCCTGCTTCCATAGACTACTCATATAGAACATCGTAAAATTATATTTATAATTACTAATAAAAACAATAATTTGTTTTTAATACTGAAATAATCTGAAAATGAACTTTCAGATAATTTATCTCAGTTTATATCCAGCTCTATTGAGGTTCCACAATTTCGGAAATCGAAAAATATCTTAGATAGGGAACTTCAAAAACTTATAAAAATAAAGTTCTTTAAGTTTCGTATGCCTCAAGATCGAAAATATGTTGAGATTTTACGTTATGCCCACTACAAATCTATATAAAGGTCTTTTTTTCTTTGATATCGTTTGGGGACTAATAGGTATAAACGTGACTTACAGGAAGTCCGGGCACAACATCAAAGTACTCAAAAGCATAACAACTTGATATAAAGCGTCAATAAGCGCACCATTGGAATTAACTTCCGCCGGTACCAATGAAGAATTTGTGTGTCATTTTTTTAACTTGGTTTAATGCGAGGTATCAACCAACAGCCACTACGAAACCAACCCCAACTGGTCAGTCCAATATATGACAATCAACCAAACAATTAAGTTCATAATATTAAGAAAAGTATTAGTAGCATTTATTATAATAATTCCAATGATTCTTCCTATGTTTTGATATGGGATATATGGAAAATGGTTTAAGATAATTTAATAGGTATTTAGATAGAATACCACATTAAAGTTAAGGTGACTTAGTTAATATCACTTTATACAAAATTTTTTTAATTATCAACATTTTTGATAGTTTCAGCTCATAACTTATTCACAGTGTTGATGATACGAGCATATTCTTATTATTCTCATAAAGCACATTTTTCTTCTTATCAATTATACACTTTAATATCCAGACTTCAGAAAGAAAATAAAAAATTATTAAATGTACTTTTTCCATACTTATGCAAATTTAATAATTCTGAAAGCACTTAAGAATTAAAATTTCCTTTTATGATGTTATAATGAAATTATTTGCCAAGCGTGTCACTCAGTGTCGATTCATAATTATTATTGAATTTATTTTCATTTTAAATTATGAATCTATTTACCTCTTAAGAGCCGTGTACCTGATGCATTATACGCCATGAAGAAAATACTTCCAAATATGTTTCTATTGAAATCAGGTTTCCCAGCAGCTGAGCAGCTGACAAGATTGCTACCCTTTAATTAAAATTAACGTATAAGTAATTTACCCAATAAAATTGGTATAGTTTATAGATTTTAGTTTTCTGATAATTGAGTTTATGGAACACCACAAAACATTTCTCTAAGTGCTATTTAGTTATATAGTTTTAGAAATGCTCTTAAGAATTGTTTTCTAATTTTACGACTAATGCAATATTAGTGTCAAGCTTTTCTTATTTAGAAGAGTGATTAGAAATCTGTGGTTAGATAGTATCATATAAGTTTCATCTTTCAGTACTTAAAACATTGTGATTCATACTAAAATGGTTAATAAATAATATTGATTTTCGGTTTTCTAAGAGAGTATACAATTTAGTCCTAAATTCACCGAAAAATTGGAGATCCAATCCTCTGACTCCACGCTATGCTCATAATTTGGCGTCCACACTGGTTATATATGTAATATGATTACAATAGTACTTCTTCACACTTCACTCTCTTCCAACTGGAATGCTTTCATATAAGACTTTACTCCTAAACATGACAGGAATTCAATTTCGTTTTAAGTTGAGTAACAATATCTTTAGTTTCTAAACTCTGTAAACATCATATTTGTCACCACTGCTTTGATTGGTAGTAATATTTCTAAGATATGCTTTTGATTGTATACATTCCTCGATTTTCATTTGAAATGCAAATGACCTGCAATCACATGTCCGTTACTCATAATCTTACTCTTTACCTTGCCAAGCTGCTTTTTAAACAGTTGAGTTGAGTCTATACTATAGTGCTTCTGCAGTAAAAGAGATACAAACCATTATAATTGATATAAATATTTAACTTTGAATGAGAAGTACGTTTATAGTGACCCGTCTTCCTACTACAGTTGAGAGCATTTTCCCGCATTTACATTTATATCATAAAGCCTTTTATTCACATCTCGTGATAGTTCTTTGGTTTTCAAAATTTATGGCATGCAGGTCAGATATGTAATCAACACTAATATTCCCGTAAACTAGTGTCTAGTTTTTTATAAATCATAAAGAAATTCAGTATTTTAGCCTTAATTGGTGCTGCACAATTAATTTCGGATTTTATGCTCATGTTGAAGTGATATTCTGTAATCCTCCATTCATACTAAACTTATAACATCCAAACTAAAAACTAGTGTCTAGTTTTTTATAAATCATAAAGGAATTCAGTATGTTAGCCTTAATTGGTGCTGTACAATTAATTTCGGATTTTATGCTCATGTTGAAGTGATATTCTGTAATCCTTCATTCATACTTAACTTGTAACATCCAACAAATTAAAACTAACAAAATCGCAAAGCTCTTCGTCGTTCCATTTATTTATGGATTGATATTTATTTTTTGTTTGGAATAAAATAAATCGTAGTTACATTTGTTAAAATTCAAATATCAACATGATTTTTTCTAGTCAAATAAAAATGAGTTAAAAATGTTTTAAATGAAACAAAAATTTTAGATGTGTTTTACAAAATTTAACAAGCGACAAAAATAAATTATTAATCCTCAAAATTATTAGCCGCGTCCACAAAATGGCTGTAAGAATCTATTATTTAATAAAAACACTCATTAAAAACACTTGATGAAAAATAATTACTATCATTCATACAGAAATCAGTGGAGCGTTACACAGAAATTGATATGAATGAGTCTGAAGGTGACGATGAGCATTTCCAATCGCAACAGCCTAAAGTGAATTCTGATGTTTATGTTAATGGATTTGTCGTTGTTATGGATATCATTTCCCTGCTCTTCAAGCTGCTGATAGTGTCTCTGTTCGTATACGTCATATACAGTTTGTGGCGCACTAAGCGTGATGTCTTCGACGATGAAGATGATTGTCCAATCTTTTAATTCTTTCCTCTACCACGTAAGTACCATGAGTTCTTTCGATATAACTAACAATACATACTATATACTATACTGAACATTTTCTAAAAACTTCTACAGAGTTATAATTCAGTTGTTTCCTATGTGCCATCACTGCTTCAAGACTGTGGGAATATCATATAACATATGTAAGTACATAGACACTCGCAATGTAATGCCAAGCAGTTTTTATTACTGATTAAACAAAATTATAAATTAATATTCAATGGTCGAAATAGTAATATTTAAGGAATATTATGTCTTGAATTTTCTTTTGAATCCATATGCAAAATGCACAACTTTAAAGTGCCAGTATTTTGGTCTTTTCAATTGAATTTGATTTCATCTCAGTTATCCCTTTTCATTTCTTGTTGTTCTAAGCTTATTATCTTCAAATAACAACAATTAATACTCTATACAATCTATCAAAATATTAAACTTAATAACTAGTTGAAATAAATACAAATTGCCGATTAGTTTGGTTAAATGAAATGTAAGGTTTGGGTTGAAATCCTCTTATTCTTATATCCTTTTCACATTGTATGAATATGGAGAGAATATGTATAATTTGTCTAAGTATTTGTTACACAGTGAAGAGGATTTAAATACCTCAAAAATTATCTGGAATATTGAGTCCATTTTAGGAACGATGCATTTATGTTTGTCAGTTTGTTACTCTGCAACAACTCAAACTGAAATCTTCTTCCCAGTCTCCTTCTGCATTTAGTTTGGATCTTTCTTTCTGCAGAAATACTAATTTAAATAAGTCTTTTTATTATTATATTGAATATTTTGATTTTTATTAAGAGTATAGTTTATATAGTTTTATATTCAACTTCAGACAGTTTCCAATCGCGACAACATCAATGTTCCTCCTGTCAAACAAAACCTTGTTTCGAATGAATCAAGGATTAAGTAATAAAGATTTTTAAATTAAATTTTGAAACCAATTAAGGTAATTATAAAATTATTCATATATTGTACAGATACTTGATTATATGTATTTTTTATTAAATAATTTTGTTTTTATTATGATTAATCTCACAAACAATTTTTAGGTATAATGTTGAACGGTTTGTTTGCGACTTGTTATATTGTTATATTGTATTCGTTTAAAGGACACCTGGAACCTAAGTAATTTCAAAACTTAATTTATTTTATTTAATAAATTATAAGCTTTCTTTTTAGCCTTGCTTGAAAAATATGATTGTGAACCTTTTTTCCATATTTTATATAAAAAATGGATTGGTGTGGCACAGAGAAGATAAATTAATTAAGTAAACCTCGCTATACATTAACTGACGATATTTGAGTATTCCGACACATTATCAGTTTTTTGGATATTTAATATTTTATTTATTTATGTATTTTTTATCAACTGGCATCTGATAATGGTGAAATGAAATATAATCACATAGATATGGTTTTTTAAAAAAAAGCTTTGTCTTTTACTGTCTAAAACAGTCATAACTTAAGATAATACTACATTATTATAATAAAAACTAAAATTTTATTCTTTGATTTTAGCACGTTGATTAAGGTGCTTATGTATCTCAATTATTTAATTTTATTTCGCACTTTCGTAATCTTAAAGTGTTTAGATATAACAAACTAAAAAGTAAGCATAATCAACTAAACTGAACTCACTTATGATTAAAACTTATGATTTAAAACCAGATCTGCTAAAACAGCAAAATTTCACTGTTGCAGCTTAAAGCTTTTTATGGTTCGTCATAATAATTACTAAGTTCATGTCAGGGATAAAATAATTCACATTGATTAAAGCTTCCTCAGGGTAAGGCATACATTATTTACACCCTATGATAACATTACTCACACTGCACTAACCTGGAACCCTCAAGGAATAAGGCGCTAGGGCAGACCTGAAGTGACCTAGGGGAAATAGCATAAAATAGAACTTGTTGGAAGACTTTTGTTGACTTCTTAAGCTCCAAAGGAAGTATGTATTAATCATAATAAAGCCTCCTACCATTTATACTTCGGTATAGGGACACCTCACGCGATATCGTAGCCATAGAGGAACTGAACTGAAACGTCCTAGAATATTTTGTAACCACTGATAGGATTTAAATGTATTTAATCGGTGCCCAATAGATAATATTATAGAGTAAAAGAAAATTTGAAAGATATGATTTTAAATTAATACTAATTAACTTATACCTACTTCTGTAATATGATTCAGGATACAACGAAAACAAAAACTTACCGTTAATAACATCTTAGTTTGATTCCTTAAGACATTTCTTCTTATTTTGATTATTATTGGATATGATGACTAGAAGCAAGAGTTAAATTTCTGTTCACCAACTATAATTTTGACAAAACTCTTCTGACTTTAATTCGATTTCGTTCTGTAAAAGATTTTCGTGCACTAATTCTACAGATGTTACTTTCTTATTTCAGCATTTTCCAGTTTTTTAAATAGAATTTGACTTTCAATATTTCAATTTAGTTAAGACTATCTCTAAATTATTGCAAACAAAATTTAAGGTATAGGTATTTAAATAGTTTTTAATTTGTATCTCAGGATAGTGCCTATTGGTTTATCTTAAGTCTAAGAATTGTTACAAAATTGATATAATCTATGGAAAACTCCAGCAATTATGTTTTTTTTCTTGCTCACTAGATGTGCAAATCTGAAGTATTCAAATGATATAAATACTTTCTTTAACAATGATTAGATTCACTAGTATACTTCAGGTTTAAAATTATATGCATTTTATATATTTTCTTCAAATTTACAATTTCAATATCAATTTACATATTTTTCCAATTTAAATAGTTTTTACTATATAAACACTTCGAAATGCCATTCTATTTAACCAATCTTCGTTCTGGAGCATAAATAGAGAGCTATTAACCTTTCGAAATCAACCAAAAGAAACCTTCTTGGATTATATGCTATTCGGATGGCTGACTTTGTCAATTGACCTTATGGTGCAAACTTATGTTTTACGATCTATTTGCAACGATTATATCTACGTATGTTAGTATATCTAAGCAAAAGCAGTTTTATAAGGCTTTACAGTGCAATAATTATAGCCAACTCATTTTTAATAGGGTTTTATATAAAACTGCATAGTAGATTTTTCAAAATGAGCCTTGAACGATTGTCAGCTTAAGATTCTCTATTTCAATAACTAAACTAGCAAAGCCAATACTAAAAAGGTTAATAATATAAACAAATCAAATTTAAATTAAACAAAATATTTAAATGGGTTTATGATTTTGGGCTTAATAACTCAATAATTTACTACTTCATTGAATATCGCATAATATAAAAAGTAAACGAAATCTTAAATTAATATTTATTTTGTGGGCTTAGTCCGATTCTTCATTTTTCGTAGAGTGATTAGATCAAGACCTCCAAATCTAGAAATTCCGGTACCACCGATTATTTCCGGAGTGGTGATTTCAGTTTCTGGAACAGAAAATATTCATTTGTATGAAGAGAATATTAATCTGGTGGTCGTTTTTTTGATAGAAACGTTTACACAATGACGATTTTAAGCGATCGCAGAACTTGGTGCACACTTGAGGGAAAAAAGGCGCGTAATAGATTATAAGATAAATTGGATTCTATTGTTATACTCATCAGTATACATACTTGTTTTTTTTTTTTTTGTATAAACTGACAAAATACAGTGCTATCAACTTACAGGAAAAATAATTTTGATAGGATCTTTTACGTGTGTTTTTCAAATAATAATTTCGGAATTCATTTTACATTTATCATGCATAGTTTAAGCCATTTACGTTTGCTTAACTTTATTAAGAATTAGTTTGAAATCGACATTGCGCTTAGGTATTTTTTCGGTTTATTTAAAGGCAAATATGTCCTTTGGTGAACAGGAATTGATGACATTTATTGCTATTTTAACCAGCTCCAATTCACGAATGTACCCTTGAATCAAATAGTAAATATCAACTTTCAATGGAACTAGCAAAATACAGTTATCTGTTGCCAATTACATAATCAAATGCACTATATACAAACATGATATCAAACGTACGGTTGCCACAGGAGCTCCTCCAGCAAGGATAATCGCACATGCGAAGTTTTGCTTATGTTATTCCTACAAATTTTTATTCATGTTTCGGGTGCAGAAGCATGAAAGCGGCAAATTTTCTGCATTGAGTTTGTTCACTCATTCGTTATTCAAATCAGTCCTTTAGTGTTTGTTCATGTGCCTGGATGCCTGCGTATATGGATCCTGATAAGCGGGAGAGCAGATAAGATTGCTTAAGAGGCTGCTAAACTCAAAGATGTTCCACGTTTTTTCTTTTTTTTTTTGTAAGTTTTAAATGATAGCAAATAATATAAATATTCATTTCTTTTATATCTAATTTTGCAATCCATACATACAATTGAACATTTTTTATAGTCATATTTATCTATTATTTATATTACAGATATATTGGCTACATTTAATCATATATAGCATTACGTTGAAGCTATTTGAGTCAGTACACTTGAACATTTTTACTCACTAAACAATAATTGACCTCAGATCTGCATACCTCCCCGAGGAGCCTATAACGATTAATATTATGTTTATTCTTTAGGGCTTTCAATTTCAATCACTTAACATTCACGTTAAAGTGAAAAGTTACTATAGAGTAATATAGAGTGTGACTATACCATAAATACCATGGTTGTTTGGTTGGTTGCAGTGGCAGGTCATAAAATAACATCAAATGTGCCTCAATTAGCGATTTTTCGCCGTTTTGTTACCACATTCCTCGCAAGAACCGTAGTATAGAAGAGTAGAGACTAAATCCATCCCACTGAATTTAGGTAATTTAATAGGTCTTTCATCTTCACCATTGAGCAGTCTGATAAACTATCACAAAAGTATTTTCCTAAGAACCTATATCTTCAGGATGCTAGAGCTGGGTATTCACAGAGAAAATGTATTAATGTTTCTTTCTCCTGCGGGTTTATAAATACCATACCATAGATATGATTGAATTCCTTCAATGTTTATTCAGTACATTATTTCTCTCAATAGTAACTGACTATAATATATAATAAATTCTTGTATTTGCAGAAATGTCTCATCGTAGGTGCAAATAACAAGTCTCATTTCAGCTTTATTATGAAAAATATCTAAAAACGTTGAATAAAGCAATCACGTAAACTTCTATATTAATATAGTATAAAATAATAATTATTTATTCCATACCAATATTTTATGTTGATGTAAACCATACACCTACATTAAAGAGGACCAGATTCAACATCTAACGAATATTGATTAGCCATGCCATTGCACTTAACTAATATAATAAAGAGAGAGAGAGAGAAAGAGAGAGAGAGAGAGAAAGAGAGAGAGAGATATCTTGGTAATATTTTTTGAATCATACATATATACCATTAACTCTTGTTAATGGTGTATACTTTTGTTCCCTACGTCTGTTAAGTTCTTCATTGTCCAAATTTTTTTGTTTATATCCACAAGTTGCCACAAAACCACACTTTAAAATCATTCCTTCACTTTACTTTCTTGACAATAAAACTGATGTTATGGTGATAACATCCTTTTATTAATAGTTCTAAAAGAATCACCATTATATATGTATTTTTGTGACAAATCACCGTCCAGTGTGTTTTTAGAACCTGTTTTGGCAGAAGCGAAGAGTATTTAGTTCGTTGTAAATCGTAAACCTGTCCACTCCTGGAACATATTAATTCATTGAATTGTAATTTTAGTTCAGACTTCACACACGGCTGGAATGATGTATTTACTGCTAAATGAACACTGTTATTTATAATTATAAATAATAATAAAAAAATTTTAATTGATCGTGAAAATGGTATCGGAAACTAATATAAAGAGAATTTGGAAAACCATTTCGAAAAGTTTTTGAAACTCAAAGACGTGACTACTTAATTATAAAATATATATGTACTTATTATAAAAGTGAAACATATTTTTATTATGTATATTAAAAATCAATAATATACAAATGTATATTTGTAAAAATAGATCACTTAAAATTAGCAAGCTCAAAATTGGCTTTTTGAGTACTTAAATGTAGACATGTTAATATTCTTAGCAGCACATTAGTAAAGATAGGCCAAACAATGCTATGAATAGAACTTATTAGAATAAATAATAAAGCAATTTAATTTTGGTATTACTTAGGTTCCAGGTTTCCTTTAAACGAATACAATATAACAAGTCGCAAACAAACCGTTCAACATTATACCTAAAAATTGTTTGTGAGATTAATCATAATAAAAACAAAATTATTTAATAAAAAATACATATAATCAAGTATCTGTACAATATATGAATAATTTTATAATTACCTTAATTGGTTTCAAAATTTAATTTAAAAATCTTTATTACTTAATCCTTGACTCATTCGAAACAAGGTTTTGTTTGGCAGGAGGAACATTGATGTTGTCGCGATTGGAAACTGTCTGAAGTTGAGTATAAAACTATATAAAAAACTCTTAATAAAAATTAAAATATTCAATATAATAACAAAAAGACTTATTTAAATTTAAAAGATTTATTTCTGCAGAAAGAAAGATCGAAACTAAATGCAGAAGGAGACTGGGAAGAAGATTTCAGTTTGAGTTGTTGCAGAGTAACAAACTGACAAACATAAATGCATCGTTCCTAAAATGAACTCAATATTCCTGATAATTTTTGAGGTATTTAAATCCTCTTCACTGTGTAACAAATACTTAGACAAATTATACATATTCTCTCCATATTCATACAATGTGAAAAGGATATAAGAATAAGAGGATTTCAACCCAAACCTTACATTTCATTTAACCAAACTAATCGGCAATTTGTATTTATTTCAACTAGTTATTAAGTTTAATATTTTGATAGATTGTATAGAGTATTAATTGTTGTTATTTGAAGATAATAAGCTTAGAACAACAAGAAATGAAAAGGGATAACTGAGATGAAATCAAATTCAATTGAAAAGACCAAAATACTGGCACTTTAAAGTTGTGCATTTTGCATATGGATTCAAAAGAAAATTCAAGACATAATATTCCTTAAATATTACTATTTCGACCATTGAATATTAATTTATAATTTTGTTTAATCAGTAATAAAAACTGCTTGACATTACATTGGGAGTGTCAATGTACTTACATATGTTATATGATATTCCCACAGTCTTGAAGCAGTGATGGCACATAGGAAACAACTGAATTATAACTCTGTAGAAGTTTTTAGAAAATGTTCAGTATAGTATATAGTATGTATTGTTAGTTATATCGAAAGAACTCATGGTACTTACGTGGTAGAGGAAAGAATTAAAAGATTGGACAATCATCTTCATCGTCGAAGACATCACGCTTAGTGCGCCACAAACTGTATATGACGTATACGAACAGAGACACTATCAGCAGCTTGAAGAGCAGGGAAATGATATCCATAACAACGACAAATCCATTAACATAAACATCAGAATTCACTTTAGGCTGTTGCGATTGGAAATGCTCATCGTCACCTTCAGACTCATTCATATCAATTTCTGTGTAACGCTCCACTGATTTCTGTATGAATGATAGTAATTATTTTTCATCAAGTGTTTTTAATGAGTGTTTTTATTAAATAATAGATTCTTACAGCCATTTTGTGGACGCGGCTAATAATTTTGAGGATTAATAATTTATTTTTGTCGCTTGTTAAATTTTGTAAAACACATCTAAAATTTTTGTTTCATTTAAAACATTTTTAACTCATTTTTATTTGACTAGAAAAAATCATGTTGATATTTGAATTTTAACAAATGTAACTACGATTTATTTTATTCCAAACAAAAAATAAATATCAATCCATAAATAAATGGAACGACGAAGAGCTTTGCGATTTTGTTAGTTTTAATTTGTTGGATGTTACAAGTTAAGTATGAATGAAGGATTACAGAATATCACTTCAACATGAGCATAAAATCCGAAATTAATTGTACAGCACCAATTAAGGCTAACATACTGAATTCCTTTATGATTTATAAAAAACTAGACACTAGTTTTTAGTTTGGATGTTATAAGTTTAGTATGAATGGAGGATTACAGAATATCACTTCAACATGAGCATAAAATCCGAAATTAATTGTGCAGCACCAATTAAGGCTAAAATACTGAATTTCTTTATGATTTATAAAAAACTAGACACTAGTTTACGGGAATATTAGTGTTAATTATATATCTGACCTGCATGCCATAAATTTGGAAAACCAAAGAACTATCACGAGATGTGAATAAAAGGCTTTATGATATAAATGTAAATGCGGGGAAATGCTCTCAACTGTAGTAGGAAGACGGGTCACTGTAAACATACTTCTCATTCAAAGTTAAATATTTATATCAATTATAATGGTTTGTATCTCTTTTACTGCAAAAGCACTATAGTATAGACTCAACTCAACTGTTTAGAAAGCAGCTTGGCAAGGTAAAGAGTAAGATTATGAGTAACGGACATGTGATTGCAGGTCATTTGCATTTCAAATGAAAATCGAGGAATGTATACAATCAAAAGCATGTCTTAGAAATATTACTTCCAATGAAAGCAGTGCTGACAAATATGATGTTTACAGAGTTTAGAAACTAAAAATATTGTTACTCAACTTAAAACGAAATTGAATTCCTGTCATGCTTAGGAGTAAAGTCTTATATAAAAGCATTTCAGTTTGAAGAGAATGAAGTGTGAAGAAGTACTATTGTAATCATATTACATATATAACCAGTGTGGACACCAAATCATGAGCATATCGTGGCGTCAGAGGATTGGATCCCCAATTCTTCAGTGAATTTAGGACTGAATTATATACTCTCTTAGAAAACCGAAAATCAATAATATTTATTAACCATTTTAGTATGAATTCCAATGTTTTAAGTACTGAAAGATGAAACTTATATTATACTATCCAGACTATCCAGATTTCTAATCACTCTTCTAAACAAGAAAAGCTTGACACTAATATTGCATTAGTCGTAAAATTAGACAACAATTCTTAAGTGCATTTCTAAAACTATATAACTAAATAGCACTTAGAGAAATGTTTTGTGGTGTTCTATAAACTCAATTATCAGAAAACTAAAATCTATAAACTATACCAATTTTATTGAGTAAATTACTTATACGTAAATTTTAATTAAAGGGTAGCAATCTTGTCAGCTCCTCAGCTGCTGGGAAACCTGATTTCAATAGAAACATATTTGGAAGTATTTTCTTCATGGCGTATAATGCATCAGGTACACGGCTCTTAAGAGGTAAATAGATTCATAATTTAAAATGAAAATAAATTCAATAATAATTATGAATCGACACTGAGTGACACGCTTGGCAAATAATTTCATTATAACATCATGAAAGGAAATTTTAATTCTTAAGTGCTTTCAGAATTATTAAATTTGCATAAGTATGGAAAAAGTACATTTAATAATTTTATATTTCTTTTAAATTAAAAATTTCTTGTATTTACATAATTAATATATTTTAAAGTATTTTATTCATAAGTGTTTTATTTATTCATAATATTAGTATTATGAATAAACTCAATATCAGTGGTTTTTGAACTCTAGTTTTTATATTGCAAATTATTGTAAATAATTTAATAATATTTAATAATTTTTATTTTGTAATTTCTTTTATTAATTTATATTTACATAAATGATTTGTAACGTTCAAAAAAATTGAATATTCATCCATTGAAGTATACTCAGCTGAAACATTTGAAATGTTTGCTATCTGTTTATCTAACAATTAATTGACTTGTCCACGTAAATCAGTTTTATATATTTATATATAGATATAACTAGGTAAATAATTATTGCGCAAATTAAAAAATATACGTGATTATTAATAAATTTTTGTCCGTATCTTGGTATGCAAGTGAAAATATTACTATATACCACTATATCATAGATTGATAGATAGATTTTAAATGGGTTGGGAACTTGTCACCATATCACTGCATCTTTTGATGATTATTGTGATACACCCACCTTATAGTTCCACAGACGTGTAGCAGTTAAGAACGCCATAATGTCCTTTGGACAAATGTTGCCTTATTCCGATATAAGTGGATAGGCAGTTGATAAGTACCGAAATCTGAGTCTGCTGAAACTATCAGAGTGACACAAAATGTGTTCTGTCGTTTCCTTTTCTTCGCAACAACTATATCATAATGTCTTTGTAAAATACTTTTCCGAATCTCTAGTAATTCGGATTCCTTTGTAATCCAGACAAAATTAGAAATTAAAAATATGCTTTATGTCCCTTGTAGGTCTAATCGGTAAACAGGTGTTATAAATCAGGCGTTATAAATATGTTTGCTCAATAGTCTAGCGAAATATATAACATTTGTGGGTTATGCGACTATACACTATAAATATACGAGTATGTTAGATATATTTTATTTCACTTTTAATCATTTAAATCATGGATTAACATAATGAATAGTAGATTATAGTTCTTTTTTTTAAGTGCACGTTGTTGAAATAGGTAAATACCTTAATATAAATAGGACTTTTCTTGTATTTTCATAATGCGTCTCTCAACCCAAATATCACAGTAATCCATATTGACCTCAACTTTAATGGCACTCGATTAGCGGGATCTTACTTTATTTAGTATATCTTTGAATCTTAATGTCTCTTAGCTGTTGTATTAGCTTAGTATTGATGTTTTTGTCGCTAATTTAAGCAAAATCCATTAGCATGTGCATTACATCCTCACTTAGCCTGCAAATATTTATTGAACCTCCTCTGTGCTCTTCATAAATACTGATTAAACTCATATATATTAAAATTTACGACTTCAACACTATGTCTGTCTGTAAAATGGAGTATTTTGTTCGAAACTTATTTTGATATGAATTTCGTGAATTTTGTGAATTTTGTGAATTTTGTGAATTTTGTATTTTATTATTATTGTTTTTTTTATTTTTTTTCTGTATTGTTTATTTTGAAGCTATAAATTTACATTGCTTCAAAAAGTAAGTAAAATATCATTACTGCAACATTATAATTTAGTGCTGATATTTTATTGTTTTTTGCCAACAGTTTGGCAGCAGTAAAACCTTGTTGATAGTAACTACACATACGAGGATGGTATCATAAATTCGATACCGAATAGAAAGAGTAACTGCCATCGGTGGAACAGTATTGTGAGAAAACACATAAGAACATCTGGATGCTGCTCATAATTTGTGGAAGTTCGATAGAAGGAAAATTACTTAATATGGGTAGTAAAACTCTTCTTCGAGTGCTGAAGGTTTAAGGATACCTCCATGTTTGACATCTTTACACAAGGATTCGAGTAACTTACTTACTGAACATACCATAGATTGTAAACTCCGAATCGCAAATAATTATGAATTATTAGAATTGTTAGCAAAGATACGGATGAACAGTAAATGTCGATGTTCTTCCTGTCTTTGGTGCTCGTATTGTTTTTGTAGAATTTCATTGATGTGATTTGAGCTTAAAGTATATTGTGAATTGAAAAATTACATGAAATGTGGTCACAATATCTCTATAGAAATATTGCTATAAAGTAATATTTATTAAATCAAATAATAATAAATTAAATACGTTAAGTATAAAACATCTTCTGAATTGATGTTTTAGCATTTTCATTTGCAAAATTATTCCTTTTATCATATGTGTGAAGCTAATATTTCAGTCAGTAGTTGAGTGCATATTCATTTTTTACTCTCACATATCTAGTCAGCATTTCTAAGTACTAGTTGCTATAAATATAGATATTAGTAAAACGAAAAACTATGCTAAAAATTTTTCCTACACATGATACTTATGATAATTCACTCAATCAAGCCGTAAATTCACTTAGCAATTTTTCACAAGTCTTAATTGGTCTTTGAGAAAATCATAAACATTTCAAATATCGTTCAACAAATATAAAAATATCTAACGAGATTTAGAATTGATTTAAGCCGTCTGTGCCATTCCAATAATCTGTGATTTTTTGTTGTATCCATTTTTTAGTCTCATATTTCATGTGCTTTTTATTGAAGCCATCGGGGATTGGAACCGCCTTTTCGTTGTCTTCGGTCCAGATACCGAAATCAGAGAGATCTGATTGTAGGTGATTGCCAGTTCATTGAGTACATTGTTACACTCTCTAAGGACTGTTGATATGATTGTGTAGCTCTTTAGAGCTTTGAGAACTTTTTGAATGTCTGAGAGTATTTTGATTTTAACTCCCCTATGTTCTCATTTGAATAAGATCTTCACGGTCTCTATTATAACATAAAGTTTCGCATGGAAAATTAAGAAATCTATGCTTATTTTAATTCATTTGTGTGCAATTAGTCCCACTATACCTGCTCGCTGAAGGGTTTTGAGTGCATATAAAAAAACTTAAACTTAACCAACTAATTCATGAATGAAATAGAACAAAAGAGCTTTCCACCATGAATTACAAATGATAAAACCTTCTTTGAAAGACTTTTGTACCAGAATAGCTAAAATCTTACAAACGGTCTTTCGGTCGATCTTGCAAAGATCTTACGAAAGACTTTTAACAATTTTTGCCAAAATTGTCCTGCTAAAGTCTAGAATGTCATATGCGAACAAAAACAAACTCACATTGTACCTTCTGCTGGTTATACCTTCTTCTTCTTTTAGATCCAATGGATCTATTGTTAAGCGAAAATAACGCCTGACTTGTGACAACAATTATATTGTAGTTGGAATTTATTACTAATTGCGGCATATCAATCAAGTGGTATTAAATATATTCAAACCGATATTTATATGAATGAAAAAATTATAATGATACTTAAATAAATTAGGATATGACCATTAGATTTACTTATTGTAAAACCATAACTAATGATTTTAAAACTAATGTAAATTTTAATTTTTTTAATTTTTTTTATTTTACCTTGATATATGCTAACCTTGATCTGGGTCAGGAGGAGGCCACTGAGTGGAGAACTACTCTTCCCTTCTGACATTCTGACTACGTTCATTCCTATTCCTAACTTTATGTATGTAACTATGTCGACTTTACTCCCATTCATTATTTTCGGTAATTTGTTTAAATTCAATATTGATATATAAATAATCAAAATAATTTGTTTACTTAAATTTTAAAAATATTAACTTTAAACGTAATAATGAATTTATTTTGGTCTTCAATAAAAAAAATTGTATAATCAAATTTATTAAAATTTTTTAATATAATAATTTATTTATATTATTTTATTAAACTGACATGAAATTTAATTTATAATTTCTTATTAATATTCAAGCATTCTTATGTAAAGTTTTTTATATATTTCTTTTAATTTCAATTGACTTTTTCAATTATTAGTTTATACAGTATTTAATTAAATATACTTAATAACTTTCTTTTAAATTTAAGTAGAAATTGCCTTTAATTATATTAAAAAGAATTCTTAGGATTTTTTTTAACGCAAATTTATGTACGTATATTTTTTTTAAATAAATAATATGCTTCAAATTTTAACAAAACTATATTTAGAATGTTATATTATATTGTTTCTTATAAAAATTTATAACTAATTATTATTATCAAAAGAAAAATTTTATTTAATATTTAAAGTTTAAAACATTTAAAACTTTTTTCATAAATTTTTATATATGCTTTCAAAAAAATATTTTTTCAAATTATTTTTGTTGGTTAAAAATATTTGAAAATATTTTTATCTCTTTTTTCTAAACTCAAATTAATTTAAATTAATTAAATATAATTTTTATTTTTCCTCTACAAAAAATTTGTAAACAAAAATTCGTGTCAAACACAAATTATTAAAATTTTTTTTTTCTGAATGTTTATTCAATATATTTAATTTTCAATATAATTTTAATTATATTAATCTCAGTAAATTAAAAAAAAAATATTAAAAACTTTTAATATGAAAATGAATATTTAAAGTTGGATTGTTATGGACTATCGCCTTGTTTAAAGCGTTTCTCGTAAGGAGCAGTTGGCTCATCACCATTGAAAAGACCACGCTTCATAACATTATGATCCTTGTCCACAGTTGCACTTGATACTTCGGATGAAATAGATACTGGAGCTGTGTTGATAAAATTTAAATTATTATTTACATTTTCCTGATTCAAAGATTCATTACCGGTGTCAACGCCATGTTGCTCATTTAATTCCTCTTGTGCAACATGTGGCTGATCTAAAGTGATGGTAGTATTAATGCCATTTTGTCGATCAAATTCTTCTTGTGCAGCACGTATCAACGACAACAGCTCATCTAAAGCCCTGTCTGGGTCATCAATTTCATCATGTTCATTTAATTCTTCTTCTGCAACGTGTTGCTGATCCAAACAACTATCTGCCGTATCCATACCTTGTTGTGAACTTGCTATTTCTTGCCCAACAGCTTGGTCACTAGTAGTAACTGGTACTTCTAAATCTATGGGTGTAACAGACATTTGAGATGAAACCAATATTTTTTGTTCATCCTGGACTAACTCCCCCATATGATAGAGTTCAGATTGAGCAGATTGATCCGTTGTTGGTGCTGCAAGTGTTTCATTTTTCTGTGCACTCATTTTTGCTCTAAAAAGTACAAAAACCTTTTAGAACTCTTTGTTATGTTATGATTAAGATTAATAGCTCAAAATTGAACGAACAAAAAATGGATGATAAACGAAAGACCGCTTTAAGGGCCATGTTATGTAGAGTGCCTCGGGGACGGCATGAGTAAAATTGTTATTGTTTTCAATGTAAATTATAAAATTGAGATTGAGAGAAAAATACTATGTCAGTTCATATTTCGGCATGAGAGCTGGCGTATATATGCCTCGGCACTAAAGCAAAGCAGTGTTGTTTATTTATGTCAGAATTTGCGTCTTTTTGGAGCAGAATACTAAATTTTCAGCACCTTTTGGAGAAAAATGTCACCCTATTTCATAAGCCACTAATAGTCTAATTATTACAGTGTTAATAGTACTGTTAATAATTATTATAAGATAATATAATAATAAATTAAAATTATTACTGCTTCTATAAGTTTTTTCTTGCCGGTTATTTTTGGTGACAAATTAAAAGTGAGTATATCTACATTTCCTTTTAAATTTAGGCACAACCAAAAAGTATCAAAATGTAGTAAAAACACGAAATTGGCAATACTGATTTGACAGTCTGCATAACATGCACGTTCGGCAAATCCCGAAAGAGCTAATTTTGGTGTGCCCGAGACATTCTACATAACATGGCCATTAATAATTTTATATGTAAAAATTTATTATAGAGTCATTTAACTAAAAAATTATTAAAAATTATTTTTATTAATATTAAACAAATGCGTATTATACATACTTTTTTTGTTTAGTTTTTATTTTCATTATTTTTATTATTATTACATTATTTTTTACTACATTTATCAACTCTTTTTGCTGCTACTTCTTAATTTTTTTAATCATTCGGCCATTTTTTTTTTTTTTTTGTCACAATAAATTCAAATTCTTAATCGCCTAAAACTTAAGGAATCTATTTGAATTGAATTAAATTATATATGGTTCACATATCCATTATAAATTTATGTTTTCAAAACAGTATTATATACCCTCATCTAAAAATATATTTCAGTCCTACCACAATTTCTACTACCTGACAGCAGAATCTTTTTTCCAGAACTTTCTAACAATTTTTTTATGCCTTACCTTAAGACTTTAAATGTATCTTCAAATACCTGGCTGTATTTCTAATTTCGTCTATAATATTTGGCGCAATTTATATATATATCTTTTATGCAAACTTACCTGATCAGTATATTATATATCACGATTTATATAATATGCGCAGACTGTGTGCTTGCGACAAGTTAACTTTTAATAGACCACACTTTAATAGAGTGTGTAATCAAATAAGAGTGCAATGACAAATGACTTTTGATTGTGCATTCAAAAGTTGTGCAGGGTTGCTATTTGAATAAGAAATCCTACATCAAACTGAGTCATGTTTACAATTTCAAACAATTTTTCGTTTTATCGCTAGGACTGTGTAGAAGCGATCACTGTAACTCAATATATTATACATATACCATATATGCTAACCGTATATTAATTAACTTTATATGATCTTAATTGTTATAAATTTTTTTATATATCTTCCGCGTTTTTTCTTAATTAATAAATAAAATTCATAAAAAATAAAACGTCTCCTATTATTCAATGGACGTTAATTATATTAGTTTTGGTATAAATGTTGCTAATCTTTATTCTCAAGTTAATATGTTTTATATACACCCAGACTTTTTAAATCTGTTTAAGTAAAAACTATTGAATGTCATCCTTTATAGATACAATAAACAACTCTCAAAATTTCTTAGATACAAATGAAGTTTGGACCATGTATACAGAAAATATGTGGTTTTAACAGAACGAGACTCTATGTAGCTAATCTTTATTCTCAAGTTAATATGTTTTATATACACCCAGACTTTTTAAATCTGTTTAAGTAAAAACTATTGAATGTCATCCTTTATAGATACAATAAACAACTCTCAAAATTTCTTAGATACAAATGAAGTTTGGACCATGTATACAGAAAATATGTGGTTTTAACAGAACGAGACTCTATGTAGCTAATCTTTATTCTCAAGTTAATATGTTTTATATACACCCAGACTTTTTAAATCTGTTTAAGTAAAAACTATTGAATGTCATCCTTTATAGATACAATAATCAACTCTTAAAATTTCACAGATATAAATGGAGTTTGGACCATGTATACAGAAAATATGTGGTTTTAACAGAACGAGACTCTAAGCCACACAACACATCTTTGACCTTACTCTGCAAAAGTTAACCCGGTCTGGTAATTTCAAGTTTTGGTGATTGGAATTACCCACCAAGATAGTGGCATGTTTTTATGTTGACAACCTTCAAACTGCCGATGCGACGCTTTGCCAGTTAAGCCAGATAAGTAGTCGCCAGGTTAAGGTCGAACTTTTGTCAGTTATGTACTGACAAGTAATTGAGAATCCTATTGAAAGCATCGAGTGATTTAAAAAACATTTAAGTATCATTGTATTTCACACCTAATGACAAAAGTCAAGTACTTTACTCCTAAACTCCTAAACTTTAATACGAAATAAATCAACCTATACTTTCAATATTCACATTTCATGCTCTTTTCATATATGTACCTTAAAATATAGACATTTTTTTTTTGAAATTCTTGTTTGATAAATTTTTTTCCCTTAGAATTTGTGCTGTCGTTGTTTTCATACACAATTAAAAATTATTTACACTTAAATCATTTTGTAAATATTTCATTTATTATGGATGACAGCAAATAATCAAGTAGATACAAATGATTGATAACCTTACAAATTTTATGCAAACATTTCTGTGTAAATATTTGATATGAAATTGTTGAAACAATGCGTTTTCAGTACAATAATACCTTTTTGATTGGGTCAATATTTATATTAATTTATTTTCCATATATGTCAATAAGCCATTGTTTTAATTCTGTTTCAATACGAAAGATACCCCCAGAAATGCTTACTTAAATTTGCTATAAATATATATGCATGTGTATATACATATTTTATAAATATTTCAGAATTTTGTTAAATAAATGAACAACCATTTTTAAACTATAAATAAATTTTATTTGTACTACAAATATATCAAAAATAATATACGAGTTATTACTTTGAATTTTGGTTTAAGTTTTTGAAAATGCTCATATCGAGGCTCATATCGAATCATAGTATTTATCTGCAAAAATCTAAGAAAATCTAAAAAAAGAAGAATATATGCAAACAATTATTTGACATTTAAGAGTATCTATTCAACACTATAGTTCTGAAATATTATTAAACCTTTTGAATTTAGTAATAAATGTTCATTTTGACTTTTTGCCAAAACATTCACAGAAATCTACAAACGGTTGTAAATGAAATTTTTATATACAAATTCATCTGTTTTCATAGGTAAATCTATAAATCATTAAATTTTGCAATTTTATACTTAAAAGCAATTGCAAATAACAGAGCAAAGTTTAACAAATAACAAAGTTTACAAATTATTGCTTTGATTTACAACAGGACTGTTCAAAGCACAGTCCACGGGCCACATGCGACCCGCGACATGTTTCTAATCTACCACAATCGCGTAAATTTTCGCTCGATATATTTTGGTAAAATCACATTATTTTATTGGGATACCATATCCCCAATAAATTTAAATGAATAAATTAACAAAACTAATGGACATATGGACGTATGTACTCGTTTCTGCGGCCCACCAATCTCCACAGTTATTTGTTCCAAGACAGTATCGGAAGGATTCATTACATGTTCATAATCATCCAACTTAACCGATAAGACAAGCGCGGCAGACTTGAGAATAATTGAACGAAAGTAACGATCAGCATAGCAGAGTCGCATATCATGACTAGACCACACTTACTTCCCAAGCTGGTCAGACAGACCCCTTGACTATAAACCTACGTTCGGTGAGCACGGATCGCGTAACATTTCCGAGTTAAGGAGATCATCATAACATGATCAAAAAGCAGTGAGTAGTAAAGAGCTAAGGACATTGTCTCAATTCCTGCTGATGTTAACTGGACACCGTTTTGACAACGTACAGGATGAGAAAACTGTGTGACTTATTACCAGATGGCTCCCTCGTGGAGAGTTCAGTAGAAGGAGTTTTGCCAGCCAGAAAATGTATATATTATTCCCATAATTATTAATTATGGGATTTTTTGTTATACTGAAACATGTTTTTGATATATGAATTTTTGATATTAAACAATTAAGGAAATGTATAATATTTAACAAAACTCCAGAAATATATGCGAACATAAAAAGTCAAGTACGGCTGTGGCTCAGTTGGTTAAGGTTCGCTGATTCTGAGCTTCACATTTGGCAGGACCCGAGTTCGATTCCTAGTACTTGCAGTCTCAAAAATAATTATTTACGAATAATTAAATACAAAAATTATTTCCAAGTCCACTGATGTTGGATATTTAGCAATACTCGAAACAGCTGTATGGTCAGCCAAAAATTCAATTAATTAAAATAATATGAGATTAAATTTTGTTGTTGTAGTTCACTATTGTTCGAAAAAACCTCTTTAGGAAATGTGTTATTGTTGCCATATTTATTTTATAGCAAAATTGCATCTTTTTGTAATTACTTTATTCCAATTACAAAATTTCTTATTTCATTCCTCTTCCCCGTCTTTTGTTTCCTTTTGCATTTTAAGCTTTTGGAACTAATATGACTCCATTGAGCCTCACAATTTTAATACGAGTATAAATAACGTTCATGTTTGTTGCATAAATTCAAAATTTAATATAGAATCTATTTAAAATATTTACAGGGAAAATTCCTAAAAATGTAGAGAATCTAAAACTTTTAAATTAATTAAATTTTATTCCATAAATTTTGAATACAGCAACAAAAAACTGTTGCATATTAAATAATACCTAACAGCCAAGTTATTAAAAACATTTGAGTGGTATTTAAATTTCGTAAAAAAATATGCAAGTTTATCTGCAAGGATTAAATACACAAAAGTTACACAAAAATGTTATCCAAAACTTTTTCCACAAAATAATATTAAATAACGTGACACTTTAATTTTTATTTTTAAGTATTATTAAGTATTATTAAAAACATATTTTTTATGGAAGCAATTATTTTTTTAGTCAAACGCTTTAAGCCAAATTGTACATTTGGTGTCATTATTACGACAACCGCAAATATTGTAATTTAATATGTCAATCTAAGTATTTTAGTATTAATTATAAATTAAACTAAACATTTTAATTACATTTTTAATTAAAATAATAAATTCAAAAACAACAATTAAAAAATGTATGAAAACAGGAATACTAATTACTTTGAAGGAAAAACTTATGAAACCGCAATGCAATGCAATTAATATGTTTTTTATGGTTTCATTAAAATTACTATGTTTTTTAATGAAGTAGAATTACTATTAAAAACAGTCCGTTTACTAAAATACTTAAAAATGTTTTTAGCCACAAACTAATAGAATAATGCAATATTTAATGTTTTTTTTTTCGGCATCGCACAATAATTTTTAGTTGACAAGTGAGTTTATAGTTTTTACTTTCAATTTTTTTTCGCGAACACATTATGGAATTTTCCTGGTGATTTAGTTAGTAAGTTGTGGTGGAGGGAGGAACGAGGGAGGGAGGAACTCCTCAATTAACTAAAAAAGCCATTTTAAATCCACCAAACCTCGTAATAGTAGGTAGTAGAGAGGAGATCAAGCTAGAACCAGCCAGAAGCACTTATAAAGACCAATGCTAATGTTGTAGATATCGCCGAGTGTGTTGAATAAGGAAGCCACCCCTGAAACCTCCTTCTAGTTCTGACTAGACCTGAATATAAACACAACAGGTTCTCTGGTGTCCTTTCTTCGAGACCTGGTAGACACGCATTACAGGAGATACCAAAGTGTAGGCCAAGTCTAGCTCCATGTCGTACTATTGACCAGTGCCCTGTAAAGACAGATATTAACGTAGATACCACTGATTTGCTTCTGTGTATTAAATCAAAGGTTCTACATCTGAAATGGGTTCATTCGAACTGGCCGTTGAGGCGGCAAGGGTTCACTTAGTATTTGCCTGTCGCAAAAAATGGTCCTAAATCAACCAAAAACCATAGTTGACAGGGGCAGGGATCGTAGTGGTTTAGATACAAACCTTTTGGTTTTTACTTAAGCTCAGTGGGAAGAGATAGTGCAGTAATATATACCAAAATGATAAATATGCTAGTCTACAGGTCGGCTGAAGGCTTAAATATTTTCAAGCAAATATATATAACAAGCATTTTATCAAATCTGAAGGCTTTAAAAAAAAAGATAT